AGCTTCTTCTGGGTGTCCCACATGGGTGGCAAGGGCACAACCACTTGGGCCATCTTCTGCTGTTTTTCCTAGGCCATTAGCAGAGCCTTGGATCAGAAGCACAGCAACTGGGACTCAAAACAGTGCTAATGTGGGAAGCCAGCATCACAGGCAGCAGCTTTACCCACTAGATCACAATGCAGCCCCAAATTCTTGCTTTTTCAATGAAAATATTACTTTGGAAAGTAAATAAATATGTCCAGGGGAAAGATACACTTCTCTGGATTTACAGTCTTGGAAATATCTCCAGGCTTTGTGTTTTATATTCCTTTAAATATAAACATTCACCTCCTTGAAGTTCTCTATCTATTCAGTCATATTTTAACTTCCACTGCTTGTCCTTTAACCCAAGTTCTAAGGTTGGTTTTGTTTTTAATTTAGAAAGCCCTGACAATGCAGAAACATGAAAATATTTGCTTCCTAAATCACCAAATGTTACCAATGTGATATCTGCAACACTGGATAGTACCTGACACCTACCTAAAATAGTAGCTTTCAAATTATTTCTGTAGAGCCCTGGAATTTCTTTAAGTAGACTTAGGAGCCTTGTTGGTGGTAGAGGGAAAAGGTAGTTAAAGTAAGGGTACAGAGGGATTAAGGCTCTAAGATCCCAAATCTGCTCTTTTATATTAGGCTTCCAAGTATGACTCTTTGAAGGTAAGGCTCTACAATAAAACAAAAACAATAACATTGAAATCCACTGAAAAAACAAATACCAAAAACATCATAGATAACCTAAATAAGTAAAGATTCTTAGCCTTATAGAAATAGATAAAGTTCCATTTACATTTATACTTAGGTTTCTTTGGGTTGGTATGCTCGGCGGTGTAGCACAGCAGATTAAAGCCCAGGCCTGAAGCACCTGCATCCTATATGGGCGCTGGTTCTAGTTCCAGATGCTCCTCTTCTGATCCAGCTCTCTGTTATGGCCTGAGAAAGCAGCAGAAGATGGCCCAAGTCCTTGGACCCCTGAATGCACGTAGGAGACCTAGAAGAAGCTCCTGGCTCCTGGCTTCGGATCGGCGTAGCCGACCATTGCAGCCATCTGGGGAGCGAACCAGCAGATGGAAGGCCTCTCTCTCTGTCTCTACTTCTCTCTGTAACTCAGTCTTTCAAATAAATAAAAAACAAATCTTCAAAAAAAATATATAGAACTTCTGAAACATGCCACCATCACAAAATTAGTTATTTCTGGGGCTTCCCATGTAACTCACAGGTATTCAAGAAGTTTCTTGATGTTCTATCTGCTGACACCCTGGTATGCAATGCTACTTAAAGACAGCACCTTGCCAATCATAATGTCTTTGCATTTAAGAACTGCCTTACTAAGGATCCTGTCTTCTAATGCTGGTCCTCCCTAAACAGTGCTTTCTAACAAAACCATACCTATTACAAAAATCCATCACCCTAGTTCTTCACTTTTCTGCCCTTAGGTAGATTGGTTTGATGATAATAAAAGGTGAGAACCGGGGCCAGTGCCGTGTCTCACTTGGTTAATCCTCTGCCTGCGGCGCCGGCATCCCATATGGGCACCGGATTCTAGTCCCGGTTGCTCCTCTTCCAGTCCAGCTCTCTACTGTGGCCCGGGAAAGCAGTGGAGGATAGCCAAAGTGCTTGGGCCCCTGCACCCGCATGGGAGACCAGGAGGAAGCACCTGGTTCCTGGCTTCAGATCGGTGCAGAGCATCCGTAGCAGCCATTAGGGGGGTGAACCAAGGGAATGAAGACCGTTCTCTCTTTCTCTCTCTCTCTCACCGTCTAACTCTATCTGTCAAATAATAAAAAAAAAAAAAGGGTGAGAATCACTGCCCATGAGGACACCTTCAAAAGCTCATGGGAAATGGGCAGGCAGTGGTACAGTCATTATCAGCCTGTGGGGGATGCCCACATTTCATATCACACTGCCTGGATTTGAGTGCCAGCTCCACTTCCAATTGAAATTCCAGCTTCCTGCTACTGCATACCCTGAGAGGCAGCAATAGCTCAAATACTTGAGTCTCTGTCACCTTAGTGAGATACCTGATTGAGTTCCTGGCTCCTGGCTTCAACCTAGCCTAGATTTCGCTGTTGTGGGCATTTGAGGAATGAACTAGCAGATGGAAGATCTCTCTCTCTCTCTCTCTCTCTCTCTCTCTCTCCCCCCTCTCTCTGTGTCTCTGTCTCTCTGCCTTTCTAATTAAGTAACTGGGGGGGGGGGGGTGAGTCCTTCCATTCCCCTCATCTCTCTTCCCCTGTAATCACCATCATACAAAAAAAAAATTTCAAAACAAACAGATGTTTAGTGATCTTAAGTCCACCAGTTCAGGCAGCCAAAATGCAATTCCCAGGCTAGAGTCTGGGAAGATCCTTGGTACATTTTATAAAATTCAAATATTTAAGGTCATACATAAATATCTTTGAATCTAAAATGAGCTACACAACACTACTTTGAATATATTTACCTATCTATTGTAATTTTAAAGGATGAACTGATAGCCAATTCATATTTCTTAGGGGAAAAAATTGCCTAGGATTCAGGAAATTCTGATCCAATTTCCACTTGCTATGTGAACTTAAGTCATTTAACTTCTCTTGGTCAATTTCTCATCATTAAAAAAGAAAGTGGGAGCATGTATTTAACCTAGTAGTTAAGATGCCCAAATCCCAGATCGTAGTGCCAGCATTTGATTCCAGGCTCCAGTTCCTGAGTACAGCTTCCTGCTAGTGCAGACTGAGAGATGGCAGTGATGGCTCAAGTAACTGGGTTCCTACCACCCACAGGGGAGTCTGAATTGTGTTGCTGGCTTCAGCCTTGGGCCAGCCTGGAATATTGTGGGTATTTGAGAACTGAATCAGATTCGAGCTCTCTATGTCTGTTTTTGTCCCTGTTTCAAAATAAATAATATTTTTTTAATTGAAAGAAGAAAGGAAAGTGACCTGGTTTCAGAAGTAAAACAAATCTGGAGTGGGGCCAGTACTGTGGCACAGAAGCGCTGGCATCCCATGTAGGCACCAGTTCTAGTCCCAGTTGCTCCTCTTCCGATCCAGCTCTCTAGTATGGCCTGGGATAGCAGTAGAGGATGGCGCAAGTCCTTGGGACCCTGTACCCACGTGAGAGACCCAGAAGAAGCTCCTGGCTCCTGGCTTCAGATCAGCTCAGCTCCGGCCATTGCAGCCATCTGGGGAGTGAACCAGTGGATGGAAGACATCTCTCTCTGTCTCTACCTCTCTCTGTAGCTCTATCTTTTGAATAAATAAATATTTAAAAAAAACAAATATGGATTTTCATATAATTATTAAGAATTCACCCTTCATCACTGACACACAGAAACAACCTGTCAAAAATTTTCCACTGTATTCCTTCCCCTGTCCCTTTGCTAATGCAAGTTCCTATGCATATTAGACAGCTATATACCACAAGGAAAAGCATTCTGAAGTGTAAGCCAAGGAAGACAATTTACAGCACCTCACTGAGCACACTATGATCCAATATTTTGCATGTTTTGGACAGTTACAAAAATGAACAAAGGTAATTTTGTCCCTGTCATCCTCACTTCTCTACCTCCTCTCCAAAGTAGATTGGTTGAAGGAAACAAAAGGTGAGAATCACTGCCCATTAGGACATTTCCAACAGTTGGCTGAAAATGGAATTAAAAGATAAGCATATTTTCATACAGAAAAAATTTTGAAATCCACGCACAGGTTTTTCATAGTATACATTTTTTGTGAACTTTCTGATGACTCGTTGAATGCATGGATTTTTTAAAAATTGGACAAAAACAAACTTTTAAGTCCATTTTCCATAAATTTTGTATTACTGTATATGACATATGTGACCCTTTAACTCATTCAATAAATATCCGAGTACCCAATTGCCAGACATTAAGCTAAACATCAAAGACAATATTCCAATTTTTGACTGGGGCAGAACTATACAATAAAGCGGACAGGCTGGTGTCTTTACTCCTTAACTGCATCACCAAGTCTTGATGGGATTACTCTGCTTTGACATTGCAAGTCGAATCCACAGTAGAAAAGAACTGTGGCAAACTTAATTCTCCCAGAATAAACCAATCAAAAAACCTGTGTGTGTTTCCATTCATCAAGGAGAACGGAAGCTGAGAAGATGCCAACACTCTTCAGCTGAGCATATCACAGAACTCATTTACAGCACACAGGGAGCAGAGGCAGCTGCAGGAGGGTGCAGACTTAAGGAAAACCACAGGTCTGGACTTCCCGGTAGGCTATGATTTAATGAGTCCTACAGGTCTTTAGGATTCTGTATCCTACAAGCTGATTTCCAGATTCATGGTAGACTATCATTCCCAAATTCTGAGAAGGTAGAGAAAATTCTAGAAAACCAGTAAATCTAAATTTCATCCTATAAATATAATTCAGGGACAGGTGCCTGGTACTACGACGTCTTTTATTAAACAGGAGATATCATTCTTGAATTGTCACACTTTTCTTAAAAATTTACAAAACAATATATCAAGAATTTTGGCCATATTTTGCTATTTTAAATAAATCGGTGCCTCTGTTCCTAACCCCTCCTTAACCCTCTTCCACTGAACAAGAACTGAAAGGGGTAAAGTTCAGTTTTTGTTAGCACAACTTCTCCCCTAAGTCATTCCAAGCAGCAGGCTGAAGTCCTTTCTGAAATGCAGCTGGGTGCCCAGGTTTAAAGTTAATGCCAACTTGGCAGAGTGCAGAGGCGCGCGCCAAGGGTACCCGCGTTGGGGCCGGACTAGCTCGGACGAGCCTGGCCTGGGCCGCGGGCGCCGGGCAGAGCGACCACCAGGCGGCCAGAAAGCCGGGCGAGTCTGGCCGCGGGGCCACAGAGCCAGGGCACCGGGAGGCGAGAAAAGCCAAACTGTGGGCTTCGGGGCAACATCACGAAAGCGCGGGCTCTGTCAGGATGCCCCAAGAGGGAAGCTGGGGCAGGGGTCCCTGTCGCCGCCCGGACCGAGAGTCGGAGTGTACCTGACTGCGGGCGGCCGGTCCACAGCCCCCTCCCGCCGCCCCGGCCGGACAGGAGGCGGGTTCTCGGCAGAACCACCACCCTTGCCAGCTTCGCCAGCATCGCGCTCCTCTCAGACAGCGTCTGCCCGGTGTGAGAGAACCCGGCGCGGCGTCTTCTGCAGCCACTGGGGGCGCACGCGGGCTCCTCCGATCCCGCCCCACTCGGAGCGGTACGGGGCGGGGCCGAGCGCGCCCAGCCTCGGGTTGCCACCCTGGTGGTGTGGGCTCGCTTGTCAGTCCGACCAAGAACCGCCGGACTGAACAGCCTAAAGGAAAGGGGTAGGTTATTGGCCCTTCCTTTATCTTTTTTCTTCCTCTCGCCTTCACTTAAGTCCACTCAATCTCCACTTAACTCAGTGACTTATTTAGGACGCCAGTCCCTTGCGGAACCTTTCGATGCCGGAACCAATGTGTTGCAGCGCGCTGCCGACAGGCGAACTGTTTTGGTGAAGGACGACCAGTTCTCAGAGGAGGGTCGACTGGTGCAGTTCCGGTGGGAAAGCGCGGCAGCGAGGTGCTCGGCTTCAGCGCGATATGAACAGACAGAATTTTCGACCCCCGACTCCTCCTTATCCCGGCCCGGGTGTCGGAAGTTGGGGTAGCGGGAGCAGCTTCCGGGGTACTCCGGGCGGTGGCGGACCGCGGCCGCCCTCCCCTCGGGACGGGTACGGGAGCCCGCACCACACGCCGCCGTACGGGCCCCGATCTAGGCCTTACGGGAGCGGCCACTCTCCGCGACACGGCGGCAGCTTCTCGGGGGGCCGTTTCGGGTCTCCGTCTCCTGGCGGCTACCCTGGCTCCTACTCCAAGTCCCCCGCGGGGTCCCAGCAGCAATTCGGCTACTCCCCAGGGCAGCAGCAGACCCACCCCCAGGTAATAATAGCCAGCGTTTGCCGAGCTCTTGCTGTATGGCAGGCGTGGTACTGCTAATCCCTTTACGTGAGCTATTTTTCTTTACTCCTCTATGAGGTGATACTATTGTTTACCCTATTTTTCAGATGAGTAAACTGAGGCTTAAAGTTGTTGTCTTAAGATTATCCTAAAATGTGGCAGAATCGTACGTCCTGTTGTATTTAACCAGTTCACTGCCACTCGGAGACACAGGTTGTCCTAATTTTCCGTTTCCTCTCCCTGTCTGAGGCCCTTACCAGTTTATCTCACTGAATTAGTCTAGTCTCCTGTGCTCAGTAAAAAAAATGAAAAGTGGATACCTAGGATACAGTCTCTCCTAGTTTCAGATTGCTGCCATCTTCCTGCAGCAGCCCCCTTTTCTTTTTTCTTTTCTACCTGTATTTATTTATTTATATATTTTTCAAGCTATTATTCTGGCTTCTGTTCCAAGTTCTCTCTCAAGGGAAAATCGGTGGTAGTGGAAGTTTTCCATCTGTGTACAAGAAAAGATGGGTCCAGGATTTCCTCATATGCAATTTGTGTCCACTTGGTGTTTTCCAACTTTATGTCTGCTGACCCAACCCTGTCTCTTTGAGCCTGGAGCTAAGAATATAGAAAATTTTCATGGGGCAGGCCTTTGGCAGAGCAATTCAGTAGCCACGTGGTGCCTCATCCATCGAGCTTCCTGTTAATACCGGCCCTGAAACACAGCAGTGATGATTCCAATACTTGGGCCCCTACTACTCAACGTGGGAAAATCTGAGTCCCTGTCTTTTGACTTAAGCTGGGCTCAGCCCTGCTGTAGGCATCTGGGACGTTAATCAGTGGATGATTCAATCTTATTATTTCTCCCTCTGTCTCTGTCTCTCTCTGCCTTTCAAATTGAATGAAAATAAATTTTAAGAAATATTTTAAAATATTTTTTCATGAAAGATTCAGGAGACTTTAAAGCTATAGGGGTTTAAAATTAAGTTTTTTTAAGGAAAAAAAATGGAAATTTCAAGGAAAGATTGAATACAGTTAATGTATCCCATAATCCTTGTGCTTGATTTCATCACCTCTTGTATTTAATACTTGCAGAGTTGCTAAATTAGAAACTTGAAAGTATTTGAAATGATAATGGGCATTGAGATTATTAAATTGACTTAAAATACTTTTTAAAAACACTGGATTGAAGGAAATATGTACTTTGCAGTTGAACATATTTGGTTTCAAGTCAGAATGTGTTCCCCACTAGCCTTTCACTAAAGGGAAAAGCACCAGTTATTTCTGCTAAATGTTTTTTTTTTTTAACTGATGATTTTTTTCCTAAAGGGTTCTCCAAGGACATCTACACCATTTGGATCAGGGCGTGGTAGAGAAAAAAGAATGTCTAATGACTTGGAAAATTATTTCAAGCCTTCAATGCTTGAAGACCCTTGGGCTGGCCTAGAACCAGTATCTGTAGTGGATATAAGCCATCAGTACAGCAATACTCAAACATTCACAGGCAAAAAAGGAAGATACTTTTGTTAATATTTGTGAAATTCATCTGGAAGCTTCAAGTGTCAGGAACATCTTGGACAAAACTTTTACTTGTGTAATTAAGTTGAACCCAATGATGATGACTTTGAATAACTATAGAGCCTTCTTGATATTTTGCATCATATCAAGCATTATTGGTATTAGAGCAGAAGACAGGCTAATTTTCAGAATTTAGCTCTCTGGAAGTATCTACCACATTTTAGAAGATTTACAGTTTCCATAGACTTAATATTCCTGGTTAAATAATGGACATTTGTCTTTTAATGTTTTTCCAGTGTTTCAAAATAAAATATTTTGTATTTCTAACTGTATTGTGGTTTTGTGATTAAAAAAAAGTGAATTATTAAGTAATGCTTTGTAACCACCTAGACTTTGTAGGTTAATGTTTTGTAAACTATCTTGAAAATGAAGTAGATAAACCATCTTTTGATCTATAGACAGTTCTATATTTGATCACAGATAAAGAGGAAGAGAATAGCAGTTCTTTACATATTCATTGTAACATTGTCCTACACACCTATTTTATGGAATGCTTTTGTAAAAATGCATTGAAACTTGATTTTGAAGTCACCAAAACCTACTTAAGCTTAAGTTTATATTCACTTAACTGAAAAAGGCAAACATAGACTATGCATATCTAGATCAAAATGTTGTCTAAGCTTTTGTGCCCCATAGCATATTCTCAACATGGTGAAGTCATTTTCTCCTCAAGCCAGAGGAGATGGCAACCAGCCTTCTCAAATGACTTCATTGAATAAAGAATATCTTTCAACTCCATTATTCCCCAAGAAAACAAATTGACCATGCTTTAGATCATGTTTCTGTGTTCTTAAGCCAAATAGCTATGACCAAGGAAGTGAGACCTTCCTTGTTTGAATCAAACTCACTCCTATAATGAGATAGGGTTCTTTGATCTTTAACCCCCACAGTACCTACCTGGAGTAGAGAAGTAGGTATCCAAAAGAGAGGTTGCTGTGTAAGTGTACCTACAGTAATGGAGATAAAACATACAAAGGAAATTTTCCCCATCTATTGAAACAAAATCAAGTCTTCTGTGTTAGCTCTTTAGATGCAAAGATAGAGCTAGTTGAAGTTTTGTTTCCATATTCCCAAAAAGGAACATCTAAAAATGAGCCATATCCAATTCTGATTTGTTTGTAAGGTCTTTCAGAGGCAAAGAAGGTAAGACTGGAAGTATTTTTAGATGAATAAAAGTCAGTATGAGCCAAGACTTTTAAAACTGTATTTCTGCCAAGTTCTCGTTGGACCTGTGTACTTTATGCCTCAGTTTTCTCATATGTAAAATAAGAAAATTAATAGTACCTGTGTCATAGAGGTGTTAGGTTTGAGGTTTAAATGGGTTTATAGTACCTGGCACATAGTAAGTACTCAGTAAGTGATAGTTATTATTTTGTCTCGTTTACCCCTATGTCTTCAGTTTTTAGGATAGTGCCTGCGAAATGGTAGGTACTTAAATATTAGATGAATTTTAACTACTATATTGTTTGGCCTACTTCCTGTATATGAAAGAGATATAGTAATTTTTCCCCACTATTTTAAAGAAAAAGTCCCTATTTCCTAACATCTTGTCTTTCCAGATGTGTTGCAACCATGATGTATGATGAAAATTAGAGCAAGTAGGATAATTTCTGATGTACCTTTCATTGAACTTTATAGGTAAAAAATACTATCTTTAGGAAACGGCACTTGGAAATAATTATTAAACCTTTTGAAGATCATTTTGGTATTGGCAGATGAGTAATTTAGAAGGGTTTAGTGCCAAGGTATATATTTGAGACATTCAAATTATAGCTCCTAGTGGTTTGTATGTTTTATTTCAAAATTATTGTACTTTATAATATGAAATAAAGGTAGGACTTCTTTCTTGTCACAGGAGTTTAGCATAGCAGGTAAGATGTTAACATCCATGTCAGAATACCGAGGTTAGATAACTGGCTTTGCTCCTGGCTCCAGCTTCCTGCTAAGGTGGACCCTGGGAATCAACAGTGATAGCTCAAGCAAGTGAAGCCTGCCACCCTCATAGGAGTCCTAGATGGCATTCCTGACACCCAGTTCCAGCCCAGTTCCAGCCCAGGCCCAGGCCCAGCCCCAGCCATCTAGTACTCTTTGAAAATAAATTTGCAAATAGGAGCTATTCCCTGCCTTTTCTTTCTGTTAATTGATTTGATTATGTTGTTACTCTACTTTTGTTTAGTTGAGTGAAAGGAATTGATAATCCTTTAAAATGCAAAGTAATTGGCTTTGGTGGGGTTTTTTTTTTTTCCTCCATCGATATGCTAAACAACTTGTGGGGAAAATTTATGATTAAGTATCCATCTTCTGATGATTAAAGAATTGAAGTATAATCTGTAGCAGAGTTTTCAGATAGAGTGTGCATTTTCCTGGGAGGTTTCACCTTTCCAAGGAATAAACAGGCATAGCTAGCTTTAAGGGAATCCAAATTCAGATCTTCAGTTCTCATAATAAACTGTTGAAACAAATCTACCTAAGAACATGTCAATGATCAAGAGATCATACCATTTCTCCTTTTCCCATCTGCCATTTTGTAATCACCCTTCTCCCATTGTATAGGAGAAACATATGACAAGTTTTCCAAAAATGTGTCCAAAAGTATTTTAGGTTTCATATACTCTTGCAAGAACCTTGCCACTACTCCATCTATATGTTATGTCCTCCCTTTGAACCTCAGCAGATCTTTCTGACTTCCCTAAGTAAGGAGTATGGTGGAAGTTAATATATTTTCTTTGTGAGTGAAATGTGTTAGAAATGAATTATATTGGCCTCTGCGGAAATGTCCAGAATTCAGATCTATTGTCTCATAGGGAGATGACTATTTTAGTAGCCTTGCCCTTTTTTTGTTTATTTCCTGACTGTTGAAAAGACTGTTTGGTTTCTCCTGTGGGTGAATTATGTGAAAGGAAAGCAAAAAGCACAAATGCAACATGAAAGGAAGGGTACCAAAGTTTTGTTTGATCTATCTTAGGAATTAGAATATTCAAGATTGGTATAAAAGCCTAATTGGTTTGGGTGAGATTGCTATGAAGCAAGCTTTCTGTATTTCTGCTCTTCTCAATAATGATAAAGAGTTGATGAATATCACTCTCCTGTCCCTGTCTCAGTAGCATAATTTGCATGATTTCAAAGAGGAAGAAGTTAAAATTTCCATGTTTATTTCTGATATACTAACATTATATCTTCAAGTTAACATGTTTTAGAGGTAAGTTCATGGTTTTGTATTTTCTTGAACATGTTTCAGATTTCCTAGGAGAAACATTCTCATTAACTTTTGCTAGTTAGATGCTAGAAATCCATATTATTTATTTTACCATGACCCAAGTCCTATCGTTACTTAACAGTTTGTTTGCTTTTTTTCATTTCTACCATGTACTTGGGCTAAAATTAACAAATATTTTGTGGGTCTTACTGTAAATAAGACATACCTTGCATAAAACCTGAGCTAACTTATAAAATGCATCTCAGTTTCAGAGATGTTACATTGTGTGTTTGATGAAATTTCACAAATCACGCTCTTAAAATCAGAACCTATGAATGGGTATGATAGTAAATGTCTTCAAAATGTAGCCTAGATTATAAAACATTTAACTAGGAAGTCATCTTTCCTTAATTAAGGTTTATTCTACCATCTCAAATATTTGTATTCTGATTATTAAGGAACCAGAAATCAATTGTTTATAAAATATCTACCTATAATTAAAGAACTCTGCAATTTCCAATTTTAGGGTGGTTTTACTTAGTTTTGTGTAATTTTTAAGCATGATGACTCTTAAGGGAAAGGATTATATATAAGTCTTGGCAAAGCCTTTTGTTAACTTCCTAAGGGATTAAATAGGAGTATAACTTGGACAACAGATTCTTTTTTTTTTTTTTTTTTTTTTTTTGACAGGCAGAGTTAGAGAGACAGAGAAAGGAGAAAGGTCTTCCTTTTTTCCGTTGGTTCACCCCCAAAATGGTCGCCGCAGCCAGGAGCCAGGTGCTTCCTCCTGGTCTCCCATGCAGGTGCAGGGCCCAAGCACTCGGGCCATCTTCCACTGCCTTCCCAGGCCACAGCAGAGAGCTGGACTGGAAGAGGAGCAACCAGGACTAGTACCCAGCGGCCCAACCAGGACTAGAACCCAGGGTGCTGGCACCGCAGGCGGAGGATTAGCCAAGTGAGCTAAGTGAGCTGACCGGACAACAGATTCTTAATGCAAGTGGGTTTTAATTCCATATAACTTGTAAATAATTGAATGGCATCATTATAATGAGCTTTTTCTACCCCTTTTTATTTATATTCATGAATGAGTTTTCTTAGCAAGTATATCTGAACTTTAAGAATAGTAATAAAACTGGTATTGTCTGAATTTAACATAGTTGTTAAAATTAATATTTTCATCACTTGAATAGTAATGATAACCCTGACAGTGTTCTGCAACACTTGGAAATTTAGTGATTGGAAACAGACTGTTTACACATTTTTTTATTTGAATAACTATGATTTTAATGTATTTTTTGAGGAACAGGTCATGATAGGGTATCAGTAAAGACTTTCAAGCATTACATGTTATTACATTGAGATTAAGTTACATGGACAGGTGTAATCAATATCTAAGTTGGGAATAGAAAAACTGCAAATTTCCTACTACTAAAAAACTTGTTCCTGTTTTAAGGAGTAGGGTGGGTATTAACTTGCTGTGATATTTAGATTCTGCTAGATACACTAAAATAATAAAATGAATTTATATTAAAGTATCAAAATCACAGAATTTACAAAATGATAAAAGTTTTTATTTAGATTTGAAAGTATATAAAAGGGTATTTCGTTTTTACAATTCCTTAAGAAACTCTATAACCAAAATTTGTAAAGCTCTCAAATGAACAGATGGTGAGGAAAAGGAAATGTAGTAATGTGTGAACCCAAGGGAAGTCAGAAACAAATGGGAAAAAAAATTGAAATTATAGCAAATTCAAATATTTCAGAAATTACAGTAAATGTAAATTTTCCTTTTTAAACAGCAGATTAGATTATCGAAATGAGATCTATTTGCTGGTTTGAGAAAAATACATCAGAGTTTAGGTAAGATTCAAATGTACAATCATAGTGGAGATTTTAGTACATCTCACTCAAAAACATATCAAGCAAATACAGAATTTTTAAGGATAGGATATAGATGGGGCCGGCGCAATGGCTCACTTGGTTAATCCTCCGCCTGCTGTGTCGGCATCCCATATGGGCACCGGGTTCTAGTCCTGGTTGCTCCTCTTCCAGTCCAGCTCTCTGCTGTGGC